GAGTACGGCTCAAGCACAGAGGCGGGTTTCAGCGAAGCTGGCGCGGCGGCCGGAAAGGCGGCCGAGGAAAAATTATTAAATTTACCAATAATTATAAAGTTGTTTTGTAAATTTTTTTGTAATAAATATATAATATAAATTGAATGAAAATTTTGATTTAATTTTTAAAAAATCTCTCTCTCTCTCTCTCTCTCTCTCTCTCTCGTACAAGAGTTTCAAAAAAATTTCAGAAAATCGAGTCGTTTCTCTCACACCAATGCGATGTGCGAAGAAGGAAGGCGCCCAAGAAGAAGCCCGCACTGAAAAAAGTGCAACTGCCAAAGGCCCCGCAGATGGCAGCACTCAGCCTTATCATCCCTAAGGGTGGGGAAACCAAATATTCGGAACCCATGAAGAAGGCGGTGGAAACTGTGCCATCCGCCGAAATTCAAGAGATTGGAATCACCGAATTCAAGGTAAAGAAGTCGGTCACCGGGGGAATGATCCTGAGAGTTCTAGGCCCCGATGGCCAGAAGAAAGTGGCAGAGCTCCTCCGACGCCTCCGGCCGGCATTCGAGGGCTCCGAAGTCCGGTTTCAGAAGTCCGGTTTCAGCAGCCCACTAGGACAGTGGAAATGCGTGTCCTGGGGCAGAGATTGGCAAATGCCCACCAGAAGACATCCAGGTAGGTCAAATCAAAAAGAATGACGGCTGGCTATTGTGGCGAGCGCACGTGTTCGGGGGTCGCTCCGCATTAAAGTTCAATTTTGGTGGGAAAAAGTGGTTAAAGTGTGGTAAATAGTATTATGAAGTTTTGTGAAAATCGGAGGTGAAATAATGAATTTATAAATAAAAATGGCGAACTCCACGCGACGTGAGGGAAAGCATGGGGTGCAAACCCATGAGTATGCGAAAGCGAGGAAACAAGTGTTCGGGCCGACCGCGGAATAAAATAAATATCTGCGCGACTTAAGCACGATTATTTTTTATATATCGCGAGTGAAAATAGTGCAATTTAAGGACGAAATGTGCCCTGAAAGAAGGACTTGCGCAAACACATGGTTTTGCGACATGTCGAAGTTGCGAGAGAAAATTGCAGAAATTAAATAAAAATAATTCAAATAACAGGAGGAAATTAGAGTGCGGGGATAGGGCGAATGAGGCATACTGCATGCACGCGGTGGTTAGCGCGGGGATATATATTACTAGGTATGAACAGCGTCATTTAGTTGTATACGAAGTCTTGTATTATTTTGAGACCGGTGGTATAAAAAAACCAATCATAATAGCGGAGCACGCGGCTCACCTACCTGAAACGGGGTACCCCGCGTCTTTTTCCAGCTTGTAGAGACGTCAATTTTCGAGGCTCCATCGTTCTGAAGGGCTCATTTTAAAGGGGAGGCTTCAAAGAATGTCATTTTAAAGGGGAAGCTTCAAAAAATATGATCATATTTTTTTTAATTTTCACCCTTTGCGTCGCTCATTGAGAAAAACACAAAAAAAAGAATTTGTTTAAATTTTTCGACATTTTATGACAAATTGACAAAGTTAAGAAAAATATTTTAAAATAACCCAATTCTTCGTGAATAAAACAAACAAAAATTTAGCTAAATCGGTTAAGTAGTTTCTGAGAAAAAAATTTCTAAGTATTCCCTATTTTAGCCAAAGTGGGCAAAAATTGCATATTTTGAGGGCTTGCCATTCTTTAAAAATTTCGAAACCGAGAAAATGATGACTTAAACCCCCTCTAATTTCACATGAACTACAACATATTTCGATTAGAACAAAATCGGAGATGGTGACTTCCAAAAGTGATCTATTTGTCGTGGAATGACCCATAAGCGTGTTCGATTACTGATAGACAGAATTTCACAGGGTACTAGCTGGGGTGACAGTGAAACAATTTTTTCTTTAACAAAATGTTGACTGTGGCTTCGTACAGTTAATTGCACACGCCCAGAAGCTAAGGCAATAGCTTCTATCCTAACAACTGAGTTTAATCGTGTACTAGGGGGCGGTGCCCTCTGGCTGCTTCGCGGCCCAACCCCACGAAGCGCTTCGCGCCTATTTCGTGTGAATACGCTTCTAAAGTGACATGGTGAGTGGACCTTGGACTGTGGAGTAGAGGGGGTAGCGATCCGCATTACAGCGTTACGCGTGACACCGTTACCTTATGATTTTATACTATAGATAGAAGATAGATATACTATAGATAGAAGATAGAAGAAGAAGAGATAGAGATAGTAGAATAGATAGATAGATAGAAGGTAGAAGAAGAGAAGAGAAGAGAACAGATAGATAAAGATAGAGTAAGATAAACACGTTTGCGCCGTAAAAGTGTAATTGCTAATAGAAAATCGTTACATCAAAATCATATCAAATAACGAATAAAAGAAATAAGAAATTCAGTTATGCATTATTTACAGAGAGGGAATCAATTATTTGTTATTAATTTAAATCAAGTAAATCAAATTTGTTGAATATTTGCATTGGTTATTCGAAAGGAAAAAGAAATTTTTCTACAAAGATGTAAAAAACTGCGCACATTTTGAATGAAAAATACTCATCAGAAAAGATTAAAATCTAATAATTAATAAATGTATTAACACCTGTCTACCTTAAATTCACAAAAAATGTAAAAATAATTTAAATCAGACTTACTTACTGTTTAAAAAATAATCCTGCCTCCGGTGAAAATGTGTCCTCGTGAATGGATTGTTTCATTGGTCTTGACGTACCGTAAAAAGATACTCACTGTATAACAGCCGACGTCACAGACGGCAGAATGAACTTTGTATCGCTAACACTTTTTATTACCACTTTTCACTACAATATCTTTTTGTCACTTTTAAATAACTTCCTACTATAATAACCATGGATAAACAAACGAAAACGCGTAAAAGATTATTATGCAAAAATAACTTGAATAATTCTTTCATTCTCTTTAATGTTGTGCTTTGAACGTTTTACCCTAAACTGGTG